GAGACAAAAATTTAATAACACGCGTATCAATACGCTATAACTCAGAATAAATAGATACAAGATACAATTTACTTGCCACACTAGGATACAAAATTTCGATTTTTTGGTATTTTGTATATCTGTCACTTGTACCCATTGTATTTGTTATTGTCTCTTCAGCCTTAATGAAAAATTTAGATTAAAGTGGCATTTTTGTGGTAGATACTTTTAAACAGTAGCGGCTCGTGACTATTTCAAGTGAGGAGGCTAAAAGATTTTCAGTGATTTTGAGTAGATCTTACGAGTTTTTCTGGGATTTTGACCAACTTTTATACAAATTACCAACTAATTTAGGGGAGCCTTAACGATAAATATTCCATGGGAATTCTGCGAAAATTTTTGTTAATTCCATAGAAATTCCTCAGAATTTCACTAGAAGATTTTATGGAAATCCTCGAAATTCCATTCAAATGACAAATTTGAATAGAAAAACAGAAAATCCTAGAAATTTTATCATAAGATTTCATAATACTTTTCCGAATTCCACCATAAAATTCAATGAAATTCTTGTACAAAAATTCCTCGGAATTACAATAGAAGATTTCATGGAAATTTCGACAGAAATTACTCAGAATTTCACTAAAATTTAATTCAAGTTTTCGGAATTCCGCCGAAATTTTTCGTTCCATGGAAATTCCACGAAAATTCTGTTTAATTCCGAGGGAATTTTTCGGTTTCGATATAATTTCACAGGAATTCTACAATAAGATTTTAAGGAATTCCATGTAGGTGTAATTCGACGAGAATTTCTTGGAATTTGTCCAACATCGAACACAATCTTCCAAATTCCTTATAAATTCCCCAAGTTTTTAACCAAGAATCCCAAGGTGGTTTTGCCTCTTGGAAAATACAGTCTCACACTTTCAAAGTTTTCCTGGAAAACTAATTGGGGGAAAAACCTCTCGAAGATTTCATCAAAGTTCTTTGGAATTCCATTAAAAATTTAAGTTATTCCATGGGAATTTCGCGAAAATTTTAAGTAATTCCATAGAAATAAATACCTTAACATTTCATTAGAAGATTTTATGGAATTCTTGAACAAATTTTTTCGGAATTACAGTATAGGATTTCATGAATTCATGAATTCCACTAAGATTTCAATTTCAAAATTCCATATATTTTTTTTTTAACTTTACTAAAATTCCTTAAAATTTTACCACTGAAATATCTTGGAATTCCACAAAATTTTCATAAAATTCTATGGAATTTTATTGACATTTCATGTAATTTCTTAAAAATTTCTCGGAATTCACTAAAATTTTATGAAAATATCCACGTTCATAACATAACCGAAAATTTCTCGAAAGTCCAATGAAACTTCAAGGAATTTTCAAAATTTAATTTATTTTCATAAGAATTTCTTTTAATAGCCAGGAATTTCTGATTATATTAATGAAGTTTCAAGTAATATCTTAAAAATTCATCGAAATATATTGAAATTTCATGGTAATTTTTCGGAATATCACCGAAATTCCATGTTTTTAGCTGGAAATTCCTCGGCAGTACTAAAATTCAGTAAAAACTGAAATTTCATGTTGGGAATTTCGGTGTAATTGTTTAAAATTCCTCCATGTAATTAATTTAGGATTTCGTGTAATTTGAACGGAATTTCACTGAAATTTCAAGTAATTCGAGAGGAATTAAAATTTAATGTGAATTCTATGGAAACTCCGCAAAAATTTCTCATCTAATTCCTTTTTCAGAATAACATAATTATTCTACCGAAATTCCACTAAATTATGGAATTCTGTCGATATAAAATGGCGTCTTTTTGTTTCAAAGATTACGATCCGAAGGGCCGAAGTATTGAAATCAGTTCAACGGGTTCGTAAAACTCCGGCCCTTCGGGCTCGCATGATTCCGGCCCTTCGGACTCGTATAACCTTGGCCCTTTGAGCTCATAATTGAGATAACCTCAGCCTTCCAGAATCGAGATTCGAAAAAAAACATATGGCAACACTTCTCTGATACAACAAACGTCAAAAAATTTAAATTTCAAACCTTGGGTTTTTTTGACAATCGATACAAAATGACGTCTTTTTGTTTCAAAGATTACGGCCCGAAGGGCCGGAGTATTAAAATCAGTTAACAATGAACGGGTTCGTTCGGATAAAACTTTTGTCGCACGACACTTTGGCAATATCGACAAATGTCACCTGTCAAATTTTACACATGTTCGACTTTTTCCCCGCTCTACTATAAAAGCTACGAAAATCAAACCCCGGTGCAAGGCAGTTTCACGACGCCAACTATCGATTTGTTTCAAAAAAAAATTGACAGCTGTCAACGCCAAAAAAGTTTTTTTGCGAATTTCGAGAAAAAAAGTGGTATAAAACGATCCCCGAACCCCAAAAACCTTAAATAAAAATTCCAAAAAAAAAACAACGAAAATGACATTCCAAAACCTACTTGATAAAACTAAAGTTTTTCTCACTTACCCCGTTAAAACACTGGACATTTTTGGTGGAAAATGAAGAAAACTCAAAGCCTCGTACTTTAAATCAGTTTTCCCCACCGAAAAAGCCCCGTAAAAGTGGAAAAAATGTAAACACGTCAATTGAAAATGGCCGACTGTCAAAAATGCTTCTTTGATTGAATTTAGCCACAAGCGATGTTGCCACATCAAAAGCATTTTAAATGGGATTTTGCTAATTATGGTATTTAAATCTAGAAATTTTTACTAAAAAATGAACAAACTTCAAAGCCTCGTATGTTAAATCGCTTTTTTTTAAAAAACTCCGGAAAATCGAAAATTCGCGAAAAAACTGGCAAAAAATCAAAGGCGTCACTTCAAAATGGCCAACTAAAAGCAACGTTGCCACATCTCATCTCGGAAAACAAAAATAACATTTTAAAAGAGTTTTTTGTTTAAAATTCAATTTAATAATTAATTAATAATGAAATTAATATATCAATGAAAATGACATTATAAGGTTCACTTATTGATTATAGTGAGTAAGACAAAGACAATGATAAAGTAGTATATGTTTGCAAAAACCACCGTTTTCTGAAAAAAGTAAAAATCTTAGGAAAACCAACATTCCAAAATCAATTTGATAAAACTAAAGTTTTTAAATATTCCCGGCTCTTTGATCGGACGCTAAAAATCGCATTTTAAATACTCCCGGTTTTTAATTGGCTCTAAATTATCCGCTGACCAATAGAATTATAGACTGAGTCCCGTGATTAAAATAATTCTAGCCCTTCGGGCTCGCGTATAACTCCGTTCGGGCTCGCATATAACTCCGGCCCTTCGGGCCGGTTTTACTGAGTATCCTAGATTCACGGATTTTTGTCATGGAGGCGCGGGATTGATTAAAATAATGTTGTCAGATCTTTCTAAATTACATTGAAATATCGAAAATTGGAATTCTGTTGTGTAATTTGTGAATTCTTATTTTAATTAGAAATCAGGAATAAAAAATTTAGATTGAATTTTCAATTTTTTGGGGGAGGTTTAGCCTCCCCTACCTCCTCTGACGAGCCGCCACTGCTTTTAAATTCCTATAGGGCTAGAGAATTGCAGTTAAGATTAAAAGATCTAATACATCAAGCTAATCTGGCTGACTATAAAAAAAACGACAATATTTAGTTTCTCCCAAAAAAAAAACAAGGTTCGGTATCGTTTATCTGGCCATAAATAAATGACTATAAATTCCCAATTTGCTGCTCTCAATTTTTAGATACAAAAACAAACATAATTACAAGCCAAGTTAAGAAGCTTAACAACGAGCTCAAATAAACACACACACACAGTCTGAGCAGTCACGTGTCGCGGCCATGTGACATCTCTTTCAGGGCTCTAAAAAAGTTTCAGCGAAGTGGCCCCAAGGGGCACGACACTCTCCTCTACACTTATAGCTCTACTGCAAACAGATAGAGACGTGATTATTTGTTTTTTAGCCGGAAAATGGGGGACGAATTTGGATTTGAAGGGGGCACCGTGTGATACAATACAACGAGAAGAGGGCACTCGAGATTTTGTTGATCGGTTAATAAGAAATCAATATGATGATTGTGCTTTGTGTTGATTTTTGAAGTTTTTGCTTGTTTTTTTTTCTTCAAATTCCAGTTTGATTCAAACTATTAAATATAGGAAGAGTTGGCAGAATTTTGATGAAGAAGTGGATAATTATACAAGATGAAATAAGAAGGAGAAAATGAACTTTCCCAGAGAATGTAGTTGAGCTTAGGTGAAGATGATCATCTTCAATGATCCATTTGAAGAAGAAACATTAATTTCTTGGTTCTATTTGGTAGGTATTTGTCTATATTCTAATTTTAGAGGTGTATTTATGCTGTACCTACTTTTTGATTTTTTGAGCTTATAGGTACAACTCCTTCTATACTTGTTTTTTTTGCCTATAATAATTAATATTTTTGACTATATAGTTAGGTATATTCTTGTTACGGCACTGGGTTTTCTTTTCAGCTTCAGCAATGTTTTAAATTTAAACATGGCGGAGCAAACCGATGTTGACTCCGTCTCCGTTCTTCCCTTATAATAAGATTTATTCTCGTCCGGGGCGTTCAATACTCTGCAATCCGGATAGTCTGTTCGGAATCCAGAGACACGTCATCTAGCGCCGGAACGGTTATAGGAAACTCCCGGCAAGTGCTCTCCACTTTTCCCCCGGATGCCATGTAAAAGATATGAGACGACGACATTCTGCTTATTTGTTCGAAGTCTTGTCTGGGTGTTTTTCCTTTGGATTCTTTGGATTATTTTCCCGGAATTGTGGAGAGGCTATTATTGTTTGTTTTCTCATGTCGCGTTCGTTATTATTATGCCAAAAAATATCAATATTTTTTGAAATAAAATCGTAAAACTGTTGCCCCAAATTTCTAAAACCTATATTAAATAAAGTGCAAGAACCTTATTGTTTAATAGTGACGAAATAACCCAGAAACCATCGTCAAAAACCCATGAAATAAACGTTTAGAAAATAAATATTTGCATGCTCCTATATATGTGTAGATTTCAGTTTGATATTTTTTTCGTGGGGCCGTAAATTTCAATAGAGAATACCTACTAAATATTATGTTGCTGGAACTGGCAAGTTTATAGGAGAGAGTGTATTTTATTTTACAAGGTAAATATAGGCTTTTGATAAAAGTAGACCGAAATCGAATGAATAAGGAATGAAGAAATTCTTCAATTTTCTTATTCAAAAAATTATGGATAAAACAGAAAAAGTTTGCCTGGCATATTTCTAACAATATAGTTGAATAAGTAGAAGAGCTTAGCTAGTTTTGCCTCACTTCAACGTCATTTGATGACATCTGTCTATTAAAAGAGTCCATTGTTGCGTTGACTAAGGGTAATATAAAGTTATAAATCATTTTTGGGCCTACATATTATAAGGTCTGCTCCAACACGTCAAAAAATCTTTTCGAGAACAGTTTTCGAAACCACTCTGGATACAATTTTTTTCCATTCATAACAAGGCTAAGAAAAATTGCCAATATTTCCAATAAAATTTGAACAATTCAAAATAAATTATTCCCTATTAGAAAGAGCATAAAATTTTCTATAAATCTGTACTAAATTGAGTTTGATAGCTCAAATGCTTATTGAGCAATTGAGACTCAATTTAGTTTAAACCCTGTATATTTGTTTGTTCCCAAAAAACATTTCGTCCTTTTCTGCTTTACGCAAAAAAAAAAACTGGTTTTAATTAACTTTTTAAATCTCTGGCACAAAACAAAACCCTCTCCCCTTTGAAGTCGCTATGAAAGTAAATCGTCGGTGAATAACGTTTGAACGAATTCACAAAATATTATCCCTCCCTCTTTTTTTTTGCGGCGGCACAAAAGCTCTTTGGCGTAAATAATTTTTCGAACTTATTTCAGTAATTTCAGACTCTTCAACCCCCTTTTTTCAGGGGTGAGGGGGGGGGGGGGGGGAGCGATCATTAAGAGGATTTTGAGAGACAATGGATTATTAAATACGGCCCATTGTACATCTGTGCTAATTTCATCCCCTTCGGCCAAATCGGAAATAGGTACACAGAATCGTCTATATTATACAACTAAATTATATTTCTGGAAATTCTTCCTTGAGTTGCTTCAAATATGCTTCGCAATCGTTCCGAAACTGGTCATCAACTTTGGTGTCCGAATCTTGTAGTTTTTCTAATTTGGCATCAATGTCTTTTAGGGGTTGTTCAAAGTCGAGGTTCCAAAACCTTTCGTCTTTAACTGGCAATAGATTTTTCTGATCAACTTCATCCTCTGATGTGAATTTCTAGAAACTACATTTTAATTTTGAATAAAAAGGGTTATGAATTTTTACCTTCAATTTATTATCAATTTCAGAAATTCGCTTTTTTTCTTCTTCCAGTAAGGAGAAACAATTTAAATCATTATCGATTTCTTGCTCGATGTCGTTTTCGGGAATCGAAGTAGTTGATAGGGACAGTTCTGCATCATCTAGTTCATAATTGTCTAAAACAAACATCCCTTTCTGAGCTGGAAAACTTGTAACAGAAAAAACTTACCAATGTCTTTGAGGAGTTCGTCAATTTTTATTTTTTCCTCGTTTGTTAATGGGAAGTTGGCCATTGTACCGTCTCTGGCAGCCTGAAATAATGAATTTGTTTGATCAATGAGAGGGCTTAACTTTATGGATACAAACATTGAACTTGTGCGCTCATTATCCAATTATTATTTCACAAATTCTGACGTATATTTATATATTCTTGATCAGAATTGAATGCTCTTCAAGATAAAATAAGATTTGATTATGTAGCTCAAATAGTTTTGGAGATATTGAGCCTCAAAGTTGAAACTTTGTCTCAAATTTAAAAAAAAACGAATATCTCGAAAACAAAGCCCTAGGGCTCGGTGCCCCAATAGAGCTTTTGTGAAGTCTCAATCGAAATCTACAATTGAACGAAATTTCGTGACAATAGCTTTCACTAAATTATTCTCAGATTTGAAGCCGAAATCTATGAAAAAAGGCACTCAGAAAAATTGAAAAATTGATAAATCACCTCAAATTGCTTAACACGACTTTATCTCAGAAACTATAACTGCAAATGAGCTCAGGGATTGTAGTCCCTTGATTGGGATAAAATTCAGTGAAAGTTTCAGCTTTCTATCTATAATAGAGAAAAAGTTATGATCTTTCAAAGTTTTCCAAAATGTAAATCATAAGGTCTTATCAAATCTAAAAATGGGTTATTTTATAGTCGTTTGCACCGACCATTTTGAGGCAGGTTTAACGATAATCAACGCTTAAAAGTGTAAGTTTACATGCAGAAACGTCACAGGGCCCTAGAGAAAAGGAAATTTGCGTCAGTTGGTTCTGAAGTAAAGGTAAAGTGTGTTTTTTTTTTAAAGATAAAAGTCAAACTGACATTATGTTGGCAAAACAATGTAAAATTGTCAATGCTTTCAAATTTTTTATGTAGAAAAGGCTTGTGTTGCCAACATAGTTACTACATTTTTGACTTGGGCAATTATCTTTAAAAAAAAAAACAGATTTTACATTCAATTCCAATTCAAATTGCAAACGAATGTAAACTTACCTTTACGGTCGTCAAGGTTGTTATGCGTATAAGGATTTTTTAGCGACTAACCGTTTGTAACCGTGTTATAAACGGTAACTGGAAATCTCTAACCGTTGAAATTTTAGCGAGGCAACGGTAATAGGGGAAGTTTACCCTCGTTTTTATTCTAACTGGTTACTCCACCGATGAGTTAGCTATCTTTGTTTAGTGAATGGAAAATGACAATGATCGACATAGAATGGTGGATCCATCGGTAAAATTTAATGAGAATAAAAACGCAGGGTCAATAGGAGAAATCAATGACGTCACGCATTTATGACCCGGTATTAAATTCAGTAACCTATGTAGGACCTGGGTTACTGGCGGTTATAGAACATTTGACAGTTCGATTTTATTCAAATGGACGTTTGGGGTGGTTTGGGTTTGTTTACCTTACTCTAACGTAGGGATGTTCAACCGGCGAAAAATAATCTTTTTTCGATTAACCGGTTATATTTTACTAGAAAATAACCTGTCCGATTAACCGAAGTAAAATAAACTGGTTAACCGATTTTTTAAAATTACTGATTTTATAGTGAATACGCTAAGGTTAATAAAATTTTAAAAAAAACCTTGTAAATAGAAAATAGGTTGATAAAACTTGGTACTATATGATGCGACAGAGACGGAGCTTCATTTTGATCAAGGTTGTGTGAGAGAGGTAAGTTGCCTGGCCTGATAACTCTATGACGTCAGCTGGGGTGCCTCAACATAATGCAAATCTCCATAAGGCACCCAGATTCGTCATCAAGTTGGCCATTACCTGACAACATATCAACTTGATCCTTGCATTTTGACGATTTTGATTGACAGTTGTCAACACGTTCGTTTTTTTTATTCGGAATAATAGAATTACGTCAACGTTCTATCTTTATCTAATTTTAACAGTTTAGAAAAGATTCTCCTATTATGTATTCACTATTCAGTATCAAAACTCAGATTTCTGAAAAAAATAACCTGCTTCCGGTTATGACGTTTTTGACTGAATAACCGGTTAATTACTGCTAGTGAAATAACCGGTTATAACCGAATAAAGTGAATATACCGGTTATTCAAATAACCGGTTATTCTAGGACATCCCTACAACGTTAAACCCGAAAAGTTAGAAAATATTATTGCGAGACGTGGACGTGGGTTTCTGGTCGAGTTTAAACGTGAAAGGTAAAAAAAACGCTCAGTAAGGTAGAACGTGTACTATCCTATCCATTCCTTGGAGATCCTGGACCAAAATGGCAGAAAATATTGAAATTTAAACTGAAATAACGAATATACTTCTTACACACAAACCCTTTGTTTGCTTGTCAAAGTCCTGGGTTTTGGATAGGCTAGACTCAAGAATCGAGTTAAACTATCAAAGATGCTGTCAAACTTAAATCAAAATGTCCGCCAAGAGCACAAAACAGCCAAGAGGCCAATGAAGTACAAGAGGCATACAAACCCTTTGTTTGCTTGTCAAAGTCACATGTTTGGGATAGGTTAGGTTAATAACCGGTTGGTTTTTGCGACAAAGAGGTTTATTAACAAACATTATTAGATAGGGGAAATTTTGACAAAATACCAGTGGTGAGGGTAATAACCGTACGGTTATAGCTCGTGATAATACGGTTACAAACGGTTACTCGCTAAAAAATCCTTCATATTGAATAATCAATAAATTGACAAAACGACAAATCACCTACTAGGGCAATCGAATCAATATGGCGACTATTGTCAAACAATGAAATTCGCACCAAGGATTTAATTTATCTACAGTTATCATAAAAATGTTCTTTATGTAATCTGTTTTAGGGCGGGTATTATAAAACTGCTTTGAAAGTTAACTTAAAGTTAACTTTTTGAATTACATGTAATTCCAGCAGTTAACTTTGAGTTAACTCTTAAAGCAGTTTTATAATACACGCCCTAAAAAGGATTTTCTATTGCTTAAGAAGGTTAATTTTCATATTTTCGAAGTGTATAAGTGTATAAAAAAAGAACAAACACACATCACATATGTTTGACCGTTGCCGTCATATTGAATTCATGTTTTGATAGGTTGGATTCAAGGTTGTTTGGGAGAGATAGGAGGTTGTCTGATAACTCTATGACTTCATCTGCGGTGCCTCAATATAATGTAAATCTCCATAAGCTACCCCAGATGCGTCATCAAACTACCCATTACCAGACAAACTTTAGGAACCTTGGGTTGGATTTTCCTATTCAATCAAGGATATTACTCATTACTGCGATTAGTCATTGGTCTCGATTTTTTGAATCAAGGTCATATATTGTTGCACCGTTGTTGACATCATCAAATCTAAAAAAAGGGTTGTTTTAGTATGTTAGTTAAGGCCATCCCAGACAACTTTGCATAACGCATAGCATGGCGCATAACCATACGAAATGGTCTATGCAAAACCAGACAAAACACACAAAACCTAAACCATAAGGCGTTCGACCAATCAAATTAAGGGAATCCTGTCATACATCAACATTTATTTTGTAGGTTATGAGATCAGTTGTTTTTGTTTGATTGCAAATTTTGATTTTTTAATTTTTCACTGTGAATTAAGCACTTGAGGTTTCGTTAGTTTAATTGTTTCCATAACAAAAACATAAATATTATTAAATATAATCATGTCATGTCAAAGTCAAAAATCACGTAACTTGCAGCGACGTATTTTGATTGGCCGCGCATAGCACAGCTCCATAAGTTTTTCATTTTTATGGAAAATCTTTTGCAAAAGCAATATGGCTGCTCCTATTCGGCTTGTGATTGGTCGAATTCTTTATGCGCCTATGCTATGTAATTATGCAAGTTTGTCTGGGATGGCCTTTAATGTGCTTAAAACCAAGTATGCATAAAGCAAAAGTCAGCGGACTGGCCTGTGGTGCAAACACCCTACGTCAAAGCAAGAAACAAGACGGTGCTACGTCATCACTGATACTTTGGCGAAATGGGGGACTTGAGATTTGAACCAAGAACACCTTATCTAATAGGACTGCTTATTGAGCTGCAAGTGTTTGCCATTTTAGCTGCAGACCTCAACTCTTGGCGTAAAATGCAGCCGAGTTTAAAACACTATAGGTCAAAAAAACGAATTCCTAAACGTTATAATCTTGTTAAAATCACCTTTTCTACATTTAAAATTGATGAAAAAAATGAAAGAAGTACAACTTGAATCCCATCGAGGCCTGCGGCGGTTGACGTCACCACTGCTATGTTGCTAATAGTAATGACGTCACTCGCAGGCCCTACTTACTGAGAATTGACGAACGTACGCCCTATGTAGATGAGCAATCCTGTTAGTTCACCATTCTTGTCCTGTGTAGTGTGTAATATCCTTGCTATTCAATGGTCTTATTTATCAACATCCAATATGGCCATGTGAACAGAACAAACTTGACGACTGTAAAGGTACGTTTATATTCAATTTCAATTTAAAGTGCAAACGGCCAGTCGTTCAACTGTCAAGTAATTCCAATTGCTAGTTGAACTGGAATTGAATGTAAATAGTTATTTACCTAACAAATGCGGAAAGTGATACTTTACCGCACGCAAGTTAAGGGCGGTAAAGGCACTTTCCGCATGTGTTAGGTACAAAATTTTACCTATGAGCATCTAAATCTCCAAAAAAGACATTAATAAAATTAATTAATGAATCAGATTAATTAATGAAATTAGATAAGATTTAGAAATGATCAAAAATCCATTTTCTGAAAAAGAGGGGATTCTTGATTATAAATATATTAAATTCTACTTTACCGCACACTATGCGGTAAAGTGTACTTTACCGCACACTTTGTATTCTACTTTACCGCATACTATGCTGTAAAGTTAACTTAGCCGCACACTATGCGGTAAAGTGCACTTTACCGCATAGTGTGCGGTAAAGTGATACTTTCCATTTGCAAATACGTGCGGTAAAGTGCACTTTACCGCACGCTCGTAGGTAAAATACCTTTACGATCGTTAAGTTTGTTATGCCCACGCGCCATATTGAATAATTAACAAGGACCGTAGCAAGTCAAAACCGGGCCCTTGTGCAAAAGTACAGCGGGCCCCCTTCACCATGTGAAATGAATGTGACAACATTAAAAATTTTAAACTGAATTACGCATTGGCATTGTTGTGGCAGGTGCGCCAGGTATAATTTGTTTATGATTGTTATGACCACTTTCAGGGAGTAGGCTAAAAATGGAGCATTTTATGGACTAGGCCGAAAATGAAGTATCTTACGGACTAAAATTGGTCCGTAATTCATCATTCTTCACCATTTTACAAAAAAAAAAATACAATTTGAAATAGGTACCTAACAATTTAATTGGTCTATTGCACAAGAAGAAATATGGTGATACTTAGCGGTAGCAACATCACAAGAGAAGGTTATAACTAACAGTACAGTTTGAACGAGCATTAATATTGCAGATCTCTGTATGCCTAAACATAATGCAAATCTCCATAAGGCACCCCAGAGGCGTTATCAAGTTACCCATTACCAGACAACCTGTTAACTTTAGGAACTTCGGATTTGCATTATGTCGAGGCACCCCAGATGACGTCATAAAAGTTATCAGGCAACATACCTCTCTCAGACAACCTTGTACTGGGACTCGGAGGGCTGACTGAAAAGAAATCTGTAGAAATCGATATTACAATTTTCTGTTTCGGTTAGAAATCGCCATAGCGAATAATGATTGCTTGGGCGGGCGTGATGTGGTGATACTACAAAGATGATACACACCTACAGGAATAGGATTGCCTATCGGCCTCGTTTTTGGTAATCGCCCTCATATTGGTGTGTCACCATTTCCGACGTCAGCTGTTTAAACAGCCTACGTCAAGGCAAGAAATAACATGATGCCTACGTCACAACTGGTGATTAGGCGCGGGGGGAGAGGGGGATTTGTTACACACAGGACACAGGCCTTATGAGGATAGGCCATCCTGTGGTAGTAGTGTGTATCATCCTTGGTGGTGATATGATTTTTTCCTTGTGTCCAAAAAGTGACAGGACCCACCGGGCCCCTTTGGGTCCCGGGCCCTTGTACGCGGCACGACTTGCACGACTTGCACGACTTGCACGACTTACACGACTTGCACGACTTGCACGACTTGCACGACTTGCACGACTTACACGACTTGCACGACTTGCACGACCTGTTGCTACGTCCCTGATAATTAATAAATTGACAGAACGTCAAATCCCCTATTAGGGCAATCGAATCAATATGGCGGCCACGGTCAAATGATAACAGGCATTTTTTTAAGTTTTCATGGGCTTCGTATTTACATTTCATTGCAGCGTTGCCACCTTTTTTTTAGCGAATCTACTAGCTTCTTTGTCTGAATCTACTAAAAATCTACTGGAACAATTTTGAAATATACCAAAAATCTACTTTTAATCTATACCTATTTCATGTATTTTATCTCTGTGTATTTTGTATACGTATGAAAAATGTACGTAATTTATTTAATAAGAAAGTTGAAAAATATTAGGAAGATGGAGGGAGTATGGCTACAGTCGTAGTCTGTTAAGCGATTTTAATTTCTCATGAGAATGTGTTTTCGTCTTGCTCTTTCCAGCGACATTAAAAAAAGATGACAATATACCCTAATAACACCGATCTGCCAGAAACATCCCATTTATGTACCATTAAGGTCCTTATGTTTCCGACATAAATGGTACATCGCTGCGATGTTTGTAATGTAACATCTCTAGGATGATTGTCCTGAAATGTTTTAGAAACATCCTTTCGAAAATATCTATCGATAAAAAGATTTTTGTTCTCAAAATTTAGATACCTATTACACCTAAAAAATGGCTAACATTATTTTACAAAACTAGGTAGGACCTCAGACCGGTAGGACCCAGTATTAAATTTGCCAATTTTGTGTGATTTCTGAAAATGTCTCTATCACACACACAAACTAATTTCAAATTCCATAATATACCTGTAATGTATATAGATAAGGAACTTAATATTAATTTTGTATTGTAGCACAGCAAAATTTAATTTTTCATTCGACTTACAACTTGGAATAAAATAAAATAAAATATGTATTGATAAAAGTCTTCTCTCTTTTGAACTTTCAAACATCGTGAATATTCGTGAAGCCGAAGTGTATGGCGCAGGCGCGTGCTCGGGCATTTGTACTTGTACCTCTGCACGCGGCCACGTCGGCGCCGCAGCCAGCGCAGACGGGCAGAATCAGTCGAACGGGTTGTTCTGTGTGCTTCGCTTGTGTTGTTGGGCGGAATTTTATTTCGTAATGGCGTCGTGCCGTGTGGAGGATTTGTCAATTTGTGGTTTTTCGCTACACCTAGTTGTGCCATTTTGTGTTCGAAAGGATCTCCGCGACATACCAGTGCTTATTAGTTGGTGAGAAAGATTATTTGTTGAAAGATAACGTCGCATAATTATCAATTGTTTAGTTTATTTAATTTCAATATGGCGTCGGTTAGGAAATTTCTAACTTTTCTGATAAATAGCCCCTAAAAACCCGAACTTCATTCTTCATTAGGTAAGAGAAAATAACCAATAATTATTTTTTGTTTTCATAGTTGATTACATTCTAGGTGTGCAAGTTTAAATTGTACTTCAAGAACTTTGGATTTTGGTTCTGTGGTTGTTTTGGTGAGTTAATGGTACCTTTATGAAATTGGAGCACCAAAAAAAAAGAAAACGCCGAACTCCCCCACTACAACATGCTGCCACTGCCAAACTATGGTTTTCGATGACATGACAGGGCATAAATACTACATTATTTAGGCAAAATTGTCCATCGGTTATTATTAGTTGATAGATAATTAATATAAGTATGTAGGTATGTACCTTATTTTTTCAATAAATAATGTTGGAAACTGATGTGCCTACTTAATTTTATAATTTTCAATTTTTGTTTTTTTTTTGGAAAAAGTTCCATCTGACTTCCAGAAAATAGAACGAAAATTGAAAATTATTGAATTAGGTAATTTTTAATCCATAATCCTAAAATTCATTCACCTATTAAAGTCATACTAGAAACATATGGAGGATGTTTCTTACACCTGTCCCGGATGTATCACATACATCCCGCATCATCTTAGAAACATCCCTGAGAGATGTTTATAGGAAATCGCAAATGATGACACGGCTGTTGCCTGCAACGTCCCAGGGATGTCCCCAGGAAAATAGGGACCTCCCAGGGACGTCTTCATTATCCCTGATGGATGTTTCTGGAATGTTTCTACGATGTTACTGTGTTATTAGGGTATGTATTAGCGCCAGATGAAAAACGATATTGAGGAATAAAGTCCAAAACAAAAAATATACTCGCTTCATAATAATTGCTCACTATCACTATATTACTAACTGAGACCTAACTTAACTATTATTAATTACATGCACTAGTTATATGGCAATTGTAAACATAAAACAAAGACATAAATCGTCGGCCATTAAGGGGAAACACCGAAAACCGAAATTGTGCCGTGAGTCAAGCCATTTAGAACGGAGTAACTTATTTAGTGACCTTTGTACCAATTTATTTTTCCACAATCGATATTAGGATTTTTATCGTATCTTATGGAACTGAATGTAACAAAATGAAAACGACCAGAATCTACTAGATTTTCTACTAGAAATTCTGTCTACTAAAATTTTACAAAAAAAGCTTAAAATTTACCAGAAAAGTAAGTAGAAATCTACCAAAGGTGGCAACGCTGTTTCATTGTACCAATAAGTACCTACAGTTTTTATTAAAGCACAAAAGCGGAAAATTTATTATTTCTCCTTTCGACTTTTCTATGAAAAAAGGTACTCAGAAGATTTTGTTCCCGCTCATTACCCGCGGATTTCCTTAACGCGATTTTTCAAAAAAAAATTTGTTGGGATTTTGCGTCCTAATGGTGCTTCGTGATCCTTCGAACTCCATACGCTAATTAAATTATTCTCAGATTTGAAGTCGAAATCTATGAAAAAAGGCACTCAGAAAAATTGAAAAATTGATAAATCACCCCAAATTGCTTAACACGATTTTACCTCGGGAATTATAAGTGCAAATGAGCTGAAATTTTCAGGCATTGTAGTCCCTTTATTGAGATAAATTTCAGTGAAAATTTCAGCTTTCTATCTATAATAGAAAAAAAAGTTATGCCCTTCCAAAGTTTTCCAAAATCTAAATCATAAGGTAGCTACCTTTTTAATAAAACGATAAAATTTCAATTTTTTTCTGTTGAGATTTTGTATCCTAATGGTCAATTAACATCCCCCAAACTCCATACACTAAGTTATTTTCAGATGAAAAAAGGCACTCAGAAAATTTTGCTTCCGCCTATTACCCGCGGATTAATTTAGACAGTATTTACAGAAACTTGACATGAAATTAATGCTGGTAAAAAAATGACCTCAAATTTATATAAGCTTTACGTCAATCGGTCAAATGCAAAATAAAAATCTTACACAGATATTTTTCTTGATAAAGTTTGTTGCATTGAACAAACCATTTTCAATATCTTTATGTATTTCAACTGCACCAATTTCCTCAGAATCGCATTCATATTCTAGAAAATACAAACTAAAAACCCAATATTAATAATATATTTTGTAGATACCCTTAGTTTCTTCATTGCCATCAAATGGCATTTTAAACTTTTCCAAATCCCGTTGGCACATTTCCAAAAATGGCATTTCTACATCTAACAACTTTGTACCCGAAACGTTTTTGTACAATTCCATTTCAGTGTTCAATCTTTGTTGTCTTTCTGCCTGGGATAATTTGTCAACAAACAATGAATGTAAATTAAATTTCTAATTAAATACAAACTTTATAAAGACTGAGTGTTTCCTCGATTTCTTTGTTCAGCTCGTTTATAAAATCCAACTGTTGTCTAACTTGGGGCGTATTTTTCAAATACTTGAACGACTTTTCGTCAACGTCGACGTCGAGTTTTTCTTCGCCGGATTTCAAGACCGGACAACGTTTTAACGATTTCAATTTGTCGAACATCGCATCGAAAAAGTTTCGGGAATCGCGAGCCATTTTTATTGTTTCGCCTGTTTAATTATAAACTTTTTAATTTGGAAACCGAAAAAAAAAACAAACACAATAAAACTAAAGATTTATTTTTACAAAAAAATTATACATCAAACCTCTATTGACCTACCAGTAGATGAAGCATTATCTTCCAACGTTGAAGCACTTAAAGCACCCTTCATTGGTCGCCAATCTTCCAAGCTTAAACGTTTCGATAAGCATTCTGATGAGGGAACTGGTGGATGATGGTATTCTTCATCTGAAGTTCTCGAATCGTCTGTTGACCTGGAATTGAGGTCGTCTGTGGTAGAAGGCATAAGGAGTCTATCATCTATTGAATTATAGGCATTAGGAAATTACATATTGACATTTCAAGATAAGTACCTAAATCCTTTGATGTGCTGGAAACTGAAGGAATAGACGGTCTTTGTAGCCTAATATTCGGTGTCGATCGTTTTCTGGTTTTCAACTTCAATTTCTTCTTGTAGGCGTTTTTCGTTTTCGTTTTGTCGACGTCATCGCTACTATTTTCCGTATTCAAATCTTCGCTCGATATCCAAATTTCGTCATCCTGCAATTTAATTTTATATACCTTCAATAAAATACATGAGGCATCGTGCAAACTTATATGCAAATCACGATTTCTGCGGATTAAGAAAACTATTTTATTATGTGTTTGTTATTGACCCACTTTGAATTATTTTCTTTTAGCAAATATAGAAATAATATATAATTAAATTATGATCTTCTAACAATAAATGGCCATATGGCACTTCTAAGCTCAGAAATGGTTAATTTACAAAGACAATTCGTTATGTAAAAAAAATATTTTGTTCAATTATTACTCAACCTTGTCCTTTCGTATACATTTTCCATACAGAAACCATCTGTTTTCACAATTTAATCGATGTTAAAACAAGGTGAATTAGATCGTATAATTCTTTATAGGCTCGTAAAAATTGATATTTTTGTAGAGGGTGCAGCAGCCAGCAAATAAACTCGGATTAAGGTGTATAGATGTATCAAAAATTTCGCTTATTACACATAGGTATTGTGTATAATCACCGGAAACAGATTAATTATTTCAATAAGAATCATTGTGAGTAATTTATTTTTCATTATACCTACCACACGCGTGCTCACTAACAATTGTTTCAGTTTAATAACCTGATTATTAATTATAATGAGTTTTAATTTGAGATCTACAAAAAATGCTAAGTAACATGTACCTTCTTACTAAAACGGTGAAATTTCAAATTTTTTTGTTATTGAGATTTTGTGTCCTAATGGTCATTTGGGATCCCCCAAACTCCATACATCCAAGTATTTTCAGATTCGTAGCTGAAATCTATGAAAAAAGGCACTCAGAAAAATTGAAAAATTGATAAATTACCCCAAATTGCTTAACACAATTTTATCTCAGGAACTCAGTGTTGCCAGGCGTACCATAATTCTGTATTTGTACCATAATTTTGTAGAAAAATACATAGTAAAATTGCGAATGCAATAATACATAATTTACCATAATTTTGACCTCTTTGTATTTTTCTTAACTTTACTGTTTAGAGGTTTGAGAGTTATGCATGACGTCATAAATCCGGTTGATCGGTTGCCGAGCCGCAGTGGCATATTGACGTTCTTTTTTATCTAATAGCGTTTCCGATTGGTAGATCTAGTGCGGAACTAGTGCAATTTTTTCTATTTCTGTCTTTCTCTTCAACAGGTCGATTAAAAGGATGCAAATACACTCGGTGCGCACTGAATCTACCAATCGGAAACACCATCAGTCTCACACACATCAGCGGATAGCACGTCACAATAAAAAAACTGTCAGTACTGTCACTGTCACAGTTCCAATGAGGTTTATTTAAAAATTTAATGTGTACCATAATTTTTTTTCAAAAAACAATTTTGAATTTCATGTAACAACAAAATCAAAATCTGGCAACGCTGCCGGCCCTACAGACTCGTAATTAGAATTTTTTTCTAATCTCTTGATCTTCCAGCTCGTGATTTAAAATGACCCCGGCCCTTCGGGCTCGCAATTAAAAAAACCCTCGCCCTGCGGGCTCGCGATTTGAAAAAAAATATGGCAGAAACGGCTCATAACACAATAAACGTCAAGAAACAGACGTTTCAAAGTAGGCCTTGTTTTCTTTGACAGTTGATATTGAAATGACGTCTTTCTAACCTTTTGGAACCCCAATTGTCAATAATTCCCATTAAATTAAAAAAGCAGCAACCGTGGCAAATGTAGCAATCCTAGTACAAACGTCAAAACATTTTGACTGCTACTACTACTTTATGAAAAGTAATTTTTGATAATTAAATCAAAATGACCTACTTTTTTCGATTCCTGTTATATCGACAATTGGTAAAAATCAGTTGTTGTTTCCAAGGCCTACTTGGTTTAATAGATCTTTTGTTTATAGTTATCTGTATTACCGACAACGATTAAAACCAGGATTGCTTCCATATCCCACTTAGTTTTCGACAAGTAATCTTGTCGCTTGTCAAAAATATGATATTTGACATTGCCCAACAGTGTTGCCAATGTTTAAAAAATATTTACTATGAAAAATTGGAAATTTGCAAGGCCTACTTGGACTTTTTTTTTTAAATTTTTGAGCCTCAGTGATTGAAACAATGTTTGTTGTAAATTGTAGGTGGCAACTCTGTTTGACAAACGACAAAGTAGGCTTTGGAAAGTTTGAATTTGGCGCTCTGTAATACCGATATCGTAATACAAGGAGAATACATACTCTAAGGAGTGTTTATCAGTCTCGTTTTTCCAAAATCTTGTAAGTTGTTGCGAAATTCGATTCATCATAGAAGGCCATGGAATCAACTATCCTTGCGTTCGGTATTTTGCTCAAAGTGTAGAGCGAGCTGAGCGGAGCCGTAATCACGTGACCAGCGAGCGAACGGAGCAGTTGAACGCTGTATAAGAGTACCGGAAATTTTAATAAACGAACGCGAATGAGGCTGCACCGAGTACACTTTTTAAATAAACGAACGGTAAAGTCAAGCTCGGAGAACTCAGACCAAAATAACGAACGCACGGTATATGCCATTTGTATCACATTTTGACAAATTACAGTCTATAATTAGTTTAACAAATCATGTACACAAGCGATTTGACAACGTCTCAATATATACAGCGTTGTCAAATACATTTAATTCCTTAAGAAATTATATTATTCAAGGGGTGCCTTCGCCATCGTGGTAATGACGCAAATTAAATGGCGGCTAATTTAAATTATTGTATTTTCTTTTATTCAAAATCTTGCAAAAAAGCTCAGAGAGAAAATAAATCTAAATGTACCAAACAAAGACAAATATACTATCCAAAAATAGTTTTTGATAATTGCCGCCATATTGGTGTGTTACTATTGTTGACGTAATAACTCAATCGTCAGCTGTTAAAACAGTCTACGCAAGGCGTGAAGGGGAAAGGGGGAGATTTGTTACACATAGGCCTTATGAGATAGGCTATCCTGTAGTAGTAGTGTGTAGTTTGTATCATCCTTAATCGTAATACATGTTTCCAAGGCCTACTTGGTTTGATAAATCTTTCGCTTCTAGTTATCTGTATCAGAATTGCTTCCAAGGCCTACTTAGTTTTTGATTTTTTCGCTTGTCAAAAACATGATATTTGACATTTTGTCCAACAGTGTTGCCGATGTTTAATAAATAGTTGGAAAATTTAAAATTTGCAAGGCCTACTTGAGCTTTGTTTTTTCTAAATCTTTGAGCCTCAGCGCCTCAGTCATTGAAACAATGTTTGTTGTAAGTTGTAGTTGACAACACTGTTTGACAAATGACAAAGTAGGCTTTGAAAAATTTCAAAGTTTCAGCGCCCTGTAATACCAATATCGTAATACAGACTGAGTTTGGTAATTGCATCTGCGAATGAAAAGAGCAAATTTCAATGGACGTCACGTGATTATTTATCTTTTTTTACGTGTCAATTCACGTGACATTTGTCAATTTTTGCTCGCAGATGCAATTACCGAACTCAGCCACATACATGTTTCCAAGGCCTACTTGGTTTTAGAAATCTTTCGCTTACAGTTATCTGTATTACCGACGGGTTTTTTTGAAGCGCGAGCCCGAACGGCCGGGGTTTTTTTATATCACGAGCCCGTAGGGGTGAGGATTTCTGTGGTGATTTTAAAAAAAAAAACGGCCCTAGTATTGTCAGGCGTATCATAATTATGTATTTGTACAGTTGCGATCAAAAAAAAGTAGTACAAAAATTATTGACTCCAATTTTAGCTCCCAGTCTAACATACAAAATTTTGACAGGCAATGACATATTCTAGGTAAGAAACGGGAGGAAAAATGCCAAAGTTATGTCATCTGAAGCTTTCTACGTTAAAAATTTGTCGAGAAATGCCAAAAATATGTAATTTTTGGTTATGAATTAAATTAATATATAATAGACCAAGAGATTTTGGAGATTTTCCTTGTACTACTTTTTTTTGATCGCAACTGTACCATAATTTTGTAGAAAAATACATATCTAGTGAAATCGCGAATGCAATAATACACAATTTACAATAATTTTGACATCTTTGTATTTTTCTTAACTTTATAATACTCCTTTTATTTTCTCATGTTTTTGCTGTTTAGAGGTTTGAAAGTTATACGTGACGTCATAAATCCGGTTTCGTGGACGGTTGATCGGTTGCTGATCGGTTGCCGAGCCGCAGTGGCATATTGAAATTCTTTTCTACCTCACTCTCGCACACGTCACAATAAAAAAACTGTCAGTACTGTCACTGTCACAGTTTTAATAAGGTTTATTCAAAAATTTAATAGTTCTTTTCACGTGGCTCCGGTTTAACTAACCGGGTTACAAAACGGTTAGAGAAATGACATACCGTATTCTAACCCGGTTACAAAGTGACGTGATGGATACCTACCACTCGAATTTGAGCGGTATGTTGCGGTTTGTTAAACCGGAGCCACGTGAAAAGGGTTAATGTGTACCATAATTTTTTTTCAAAAAACATAATTTTGAACTTCATGTACCATAATTTCAAAATCAAAATCTGGCAACGCTGCAGGAAGTATAAGTGCAAATGAGTTGGAATTTTCAGGGATTGTAGTCCCTTGATTGGGATAAAATTCAGTGAAAGTTTCAAATTTCTATCTATAGAAAGTTATGAACTTTCAAAGTTTTCCAAAATCTAAATCATAAGGTAGATATAGGGTGATCTATTATAAATGTAACCCCCTGCTAACTTTTTCATTTGAAGTTTTTGACAGAAGTGTCAAATACAAAAGTTTCAAGAAATTGTCAAAAGTTTTTAACTTAGGGCGGGTATTATAAAACTGCTTTGACAGTTAACTTGAAGTTAAATTTTTGAAATACATGTAATTCCAGAAGTTAACTTTAAGTTAACTCTCAAAGTAGTTTTATAATACCCGCCCTAAGTCAGTTTTAGGCATACAGGGTGCGTCAAAAAAGTGCAGCAGCGTGAAGTTATAGGGAAAAACATGAAAACCCCTTTTAAGGTTTCATATTGAAAAAAGGAAAATTATACCATTTAATCTTTATAGAATTTTTTTTATTATCAGTTCATTGTTCAAATTTTATTCATTAATATACAAGGTGAAATATTAAAATAAATCCAGATGTCTAAGCTATTATTATTATTTAAAAAAAAATAACATGAGAGACCTAGGAAGGAATTTTCGCGTTTTTCCCTATAACTATTGGAGATAAACTGAAGGATAAACATATCAAACCATATATCGTTGAAATCAGGTTAAAGGGGACTAACAAATAGGCGCACAATATACAGGGTATTCCATTTAAAAAAATATAACTTCACACTGCTGCACTTTTTTGACGCACCCTGTATGCCTAAAACTGACTTAGGGCGGGTGTTATAAAACTACTTTGAGAGTTAACTTCTAGAATTACATGTAATTCAAAAAGTTAACTTCAAGTTAACTGTCAAAGCAGTTTTATAATACCTTCTTACTAAAACGATGCAATTTTTATTTATTTTTTTGTCGAGATTTTGTATCCTAATGGTCAATCAACATCCCACAAACTCTATAGACTAAATTATTCTTAGATTTGAAGCCGAAATCTATTATGAAAAAAGGCATTCAGAAAAATTGAAAAATTGATAAATCACCCCAAATTGTTTAACACGATTTTATCTCAAACTATGAGTGCAAATGAGCTGAAATTTTCAGGAATTGTAGTCCCTTGATTGAGATAAAATTCAGTGGAAGTTTCAACTTTCTATCTATAAAGGAAAAAAAGTTATGACCTTTCAAAGTTTTCCAAAATCTAAATCATAAGGTAGGTACCTACCCACCTTCGTACTAAAACGATGAAATTTCAATTTTTTTTTTGTCGAGATTTTGTATCCTAATGGTCAATCAACATTCCCCAAACTCCATACACTAAATTATTCTCAGATTTGAAGCCGAAATCTACAAAAAAAGGCACTCAGAAAAATTGAAAACTTGATAAATTACCCCAAATTGCTTAACACGATTTTATATCAGGAACTATAAGTGCAAATGAGCTGAAATTTTCAGGGACTGTAGTCCTCTACTGGGATAAGAAACGCTGAACATTTTAGCTTTTTATCTTTAATAGAAAAAAAGTTATCAACTTTCAAAGTTTTCCAAAATCTAAATGATAAGGTAGCTTTCTTCAAGAGCTGGCAATGATCAAAATTTGAACTCATAACTGATAGATTTTGTCTTTTGTCCAGCAAATGAAGTTAACTCAATTAAGAACTGGGAATAATCTGACTAAAGTCGAATTTTGATTGATAATTTCTCAGATATGAAACCCAGAGTCAATATCTCAGAAATTATTCAACTATGTTATTCTCGATTCTTATGATTCAGCTTTTCAATTTACTAATTTAACACTCATCATACTTATTTTGATAAAATAAAAACAGAATTGAATAGGTATTATAATGCAAAATTACCTCTTTCAAAATCCTGACATGTTGACTGTGATAAACCACTTTCAAGTCTTCAGCTTTCTTTTCCATATCCATATCGACTCTTGGATCCAAAATTTCACTGGTATATTTACTTTATTATCACTCAAAGTTGCTCTCGCTATATTGCTGTCTGGCTGTTGGCTGAGAGCAAACAAACAGAGCTTGAATGGAATCCTTGACTCGATTCCAGTTAGGTCGGCGAAAACCTGAATTATAATCAAGTAAACACAAGGTGCATTTAATTAGATATTTATACAATCATGATTTTATACCTGGGCTATTCGAATATAAAAACGTTTAAATTAGTTGAGTTTTAATTTGAATAAATCAAGTACGTGTTACCCAATTTCCCGGTATAATAAAGTGGTAATAGGAAATTTTGTTACGACGGAAAAATCTATAAATTACATATCCAAAGAGCCTATACATAATGTATTCATAAACATTGATAAATTTATTGTAGCTTAAAATAGATCGGAATGTATATAGATTTTGCTCGCTTATTATTCGGAAAATTTAGTCTATTTGATGGTGTGAAACATTATTTTTCCTGATAGGAGAGAAATAAGTACTTTTCTCTACAACTATGGAGTCAATATTAATGTTGCTTCATTTGTGATAAGATAATTCATAAGGTATAATATGAGTATAGATTTTTTTTTGTCTAAAACATTTGTCACATTTTATACCTACGCTTCATAATCTGTGCGAGATATAGCTCTGTTCCAACCGACATAAGAACTGTTCTAGAACGGTAATTTCCAGTCAGTCAATGCATTTGTCAAGTAGGATAAAATTTCAACTTATTGAAAAATAGGTGGGCAACTGGAAATTACTGGTTTTAGAACAGTTCTCATATCGGTTGAAACAGAGCTAATAATAAATTAAATTTTTCAGGAATTGTAATTTCTATAAGGTTCCAAAAAATATATATTCGAGTAATATTTCACATTCATACTAATATCGATAAAATTGAATTTTTAAGTTTTGACAGGTTTTACAAAAAAGTTCAACTTTCGCCTTAACTGTTGAATTCCAGATTCTACATTAAGTTCTGGCGGTTTATGAATTATTCCGTTTTCTTTTGAATTTATTAAACCATGATTTTCCTGGATTGTATGGTGATTTTGTTCGATTTCTGGTTGTTGAACAACTTGTGGAAAATATAACTGATAATAATTTTGAGGTAGTTCATCCCTCTGTATATTATCTGAGGAGTTTCACTTGAAAAGCTATAACTGTCTTTTTGAGAACCAATGTAGTTTGTAATTGATCTATATGACTTTTTAGAGAATATCCATCATCTAGTTCTACTTGAAAGTGTAGTACCTGATCCAATGGTTCCAAATTTCCATAATATCTTATTTGCTTCATAAAATCTAGCTTGGACTCTTTCTCCCACGCTTAAATTTTGAATTTTCTGTGCTTGTTCTTCTGATTTGAAATGCTTATGTGGTCGAATTGCATCAAGCTTGATTCTGATGTTTCTTTTTAAATATAATTCTGCAGGTGATTTTGCGCAATTTTTGAATAAAATTTCTTGGATTTTTCTATTCATAGGAAGGGATCTTTAGACATGGCTTTAAGTCGATTTTTAATAGTCTAACTAAATAGTCTAAACATTTCGTTCTGTTTAACTATTCGTAGCAGGATTATCTGGAGCAATAAATTTCTGGAATATAGGTACCATGGGTTTTACAAAAGTACCTATTTGAATTGTTCGCTAACAAAAATTTTTGCATTATTAGAGACCATAACTTGAGGATATCCATGGAACGGAAATATTTCCCTTAGCAATTCGATAGTTTTTTCTGAATTTGGATTATCTCTAATAATTTTGATTTCAGCCTACGAGAATCGAGATTTTGCGTCGATGACAACTAAAAATTGAAAATCTTGAAATGGTCCAGCATAAATGATCCCAATTTTCTACTGGCAAATCCCAGTGATGCAAAGCAGCCTTGGGAAGAGTTTCTAATTTCAGTACATGATTTAACCATATTTTTGATGTCTTTATGGATATTTTTCCAGTAGCAATATTTTCTTGCTAACTGTTTCATCTTTGTAATGCCTATGTGAATGTGGTGAATTTCTGAGAGAACAAGATGTTGCAGCAATTTTGGGATAACAGTTTTTAAGATCTACTCAAAATCCCTAAAAATCTTTGAAATCCTTAAAAATTTAACAAAATCTCTTGAAATTGCATAAAATCCTACAAAATCTAACAAAATTTCATTAAAACCAGAACAATCCTGCAAAATTTCATAAAATCATTAACATTCCTGAAAAATATTTCTTCTGAAATTCTCAAAAATCCTTTGGAATCCCCAAAAATCTGTAAAAGTCTCTCAGAATTCCATGGTTTAGTGGAATTTCGGTAGAATTATGTTATTCTGAAAAAGGAATTACATGTGAAATTTTTGCGAAATTTCTATAGAATTCCCATTTTAAATTTTAGTTCCTCTCGAATTACATGAAATTTCAGTGAAATTCCGATCGAATTACACGAAATCCTAAATGAATTACATGGAGGAATTCTAAACAATTATATGAAATTACACCGAAATTTCAGTTCTTACTGAATTTTAGTAAAATTCCAGAAAATTCCACAAGTGAAATGCCGAGGAATTTCCG